GACCAAGAAAGACCTCTATAGGCCGAGACCAAGGCAAGGCCAAGACCTTTAGCGGCAGAGACCAAGAAAGACCTCTATAGGCCGAGACCAAGGCAAGGCCAAGACCTTTAGCGGCAGAGACCAAGACAAGATCTTTGGACCAAGGCAAGACCTCTATATGCCCATACTAAGACCAAGACCAAGGAAAACCTTTAAAAGCAGAGACCAAGTCAAGGCGAAGACCTTTAACAAGGTGAAGACCTTTAGAGTCCAAGTCAAGGCGAAGACCTTTAGAGGCTGAGACCAAGGCAAGGCGAAGACCTTTAGAGACCGAGATCAAGACAAGGCGAAGACCTTTAGAGGGAGAGGCCAAGACCAAGAAAGACCTTTAGAGGCTGAGACCAAGACAAAACTAAGACCTTTAGAGGCAGAGACCAAGACAAGAACGCCACCATATAAGGTCTCTGCTTCCAAATGTCTTGGTCTTGTCTCGGTCTATGTACTCCTTGGTCTTGATTACAACACTAGTCTGCAAAGATAAAAATGTAGACCAGTCACAGTAGAAATCCTAAAATCTCCCTTAAACATGGGTGACAAATTGGAAAGCATGTGACTTTAGTGTCTCTCAATAAGATTTTGACTGGCAAGTGGACAACATAGTCGGACATAATCAGGAATTCTACATGTTTACATTTTACTGAACATCACTTTAAAGATAATTTTACGAGGCAGATGTCAGTTATTATTTAACAGACTTCTGATCATATTAAATATATCACAATAATCCTTATCCAACATGCACAAAATGCAGGGTTGAAGAGGAGAGGGCAAAGAGTTACCCCTGAGAGATAAAAATATCTAGCTGTAAAAGAGCCGTTTACAAATATGCGGTTAAAGGCCTTCTTAAATTTCAACAAAGAAATCTCTCTACTCCTGAGCTTTTTTCTCTTCATTAATTTAAATAATTTGACTATGACTAAATTCAACAAGAAATATCACCTTACTCTCCGAGTATTTTGCTTATGCTCCTTTGCATAGAGTCCATTATTGTTCATAGGCTGGTTTTTAGATTTCAGTCTTTAAATCGAAGCAACAGTTTTATCTGTCAGTCTGTGGGCTCCATGATGGATAAGAGAATCCTTAAAGAAACATGAACTCGGTTGATGAAATAAGTCTGTGTCAATAATGGCTTAAAAGCGGGGTCAATGTGGTGAAGATATGAGATGGAATCAAATCAACTGAATGACAAGTGGAAAACCAACAGCCTTTTAGTGAATCATTATATTCCCAGACAAACCCACTCAATTCTTAAGATGGAGGGGAAACCTCACACTCTTGATCTGAAACTCCTAACATGATTAATGGTTTGTAATTTGATTCCACTATAAGGGTAGACTGCAGTTTTTTGTGGGGGCAGAAATATGTTTTTAACCTTAAATGGTACAAAAATGTAAACAATTCAACGAAAACTAAATCAATTAGAGGAAAATACATAAACAGAAAAACATGACATAATCTAAAGCCCCAACTTAAACTAATACTTTCCTTAAGCACATTCTGTTACTCAACTTCCATCGGTTAAAATTAATCTAGAGTAATGTGCAGCTCTCAAAGGTATCAATAGAATGGTCCCAAAAAAAAAATCTTGGCATCTTCTGCAAAATATATCACACCTACAACTGTCAGGAACCGTACTGAACCTGGATGAGGAGGCATTCAAAAGCCTTAAAGGATGTTAAATAGGCAAATCTCTTCTTATACAGGACAACAGTGTTTAACCTTTCTACGACTTTGGTGAAGTTGGATATTGAGTTAAATGTAACTTAAATATAACTTGAAGTGTTAGCTTGGTACAAAAACAAGGTTTATCATTACGGAAAGGTCAGACTAACCAAAAAGGAACACGGTGGTGGCAGCACTATGTCATCGGTTTACATTTTTACAAATGGAGTGTGTCTGTTAGGGAGCTGACCACGAGGCAATAGTTGATCCCTCATTTTTTCAACAAAATCAATAAGTATTGGCGTTAACAAAAGAATATTGGAACTTTGAAATTAAACTACCAGAGCACAAAACTAAAAACGACAGAAAAACTTTGGAGTGTGGAGGAAGCAAATATTGCCGAGATGAAGCATGCTAATACCAAAGAAAACTAGATGCTGAACACAGAGCACTCGTTTAAAGATGTGCACACTTGTGCAGCCAAAATATTGGGGCTTTTCTACCGCCCCAGCAGAATTAGTTTTTGTTGAATCATAAAGCATAATGTAAAATTAAACGGTGGATACATTTTAAAACACAGTCTGATTTCCATAGATGTCAAACACCTGACATCTTAACAAGTTTGTAGAAAAGAAAAACAAATGTTTAGGGTATCTGAATGAATGGCTGTTGGAGCTTGTTCAGGCCAGAGGGTCTGCTGCTCAGTGCTTTCCATCTATTGGGGCCACTCCACTGAGGCGAAGAACGGGTGGGACTTAATGTCATCAACCCCTCCCACGCCTGCTCCCAGTCTCTCCGTCGGGTTGTACTGAAGCAACTAAATCACAACAAACATTTCAGTATCAGTGCAAAAAAAAAATAAAAAATCTTATACAGTGCTGATGAACAGGTAGAAAAACACTTATTTATACAAAAAATAGATAAAAAGGACTCTATACCATATAATGTCAGATTTGTTGTGCATTAAGCAGAGGGAAATCCAAGCTAACCACATTAATGTACATCTAAAGATTAGCAGTTCTGAGGATTTGCAATTAGCTTTAAGACATCAGCATGGTGCCAGTACTGTTATTAAGGACATGTCCATCAAGAGTAGACCATCTCTGATTATCTGCCATAATCTGTCTGGAAACATACATACACTGATCATCATTTAAGGTAGTCATAAATCCTTTTTTGTTTTCATACAAAAAACATCACATAGTTTGTTGTAATCATTTAATCTTTTTGGTTTGTTTCTCTACTTGATGAAAATATCTTATAAGGTCATTAATAGAAATAAAACGTTATAAAATAACCAAAAGTGCTAAAGTATG